GTGAGCTGCTAGGTAAAGCAGTTAAACTACGGACAAGAGAGCTCTGCAACTAGCAGACCTTCAACCATTTCTGTATCTTTAGCTTCTGAAGACATTCATTTGCCTTTTGTGTACCTGTACCAGTTTCAGCTTTATTATAATTTGCGACGTGAATGCCTGAACGCTAGAAATATCTACCAATTAAATGTAAAACTGCCTGTACAAATGACGCTAGTAAAAATGCTTGGTATTGAGAAAGTACTTTTAACTTCTCAAGCACTTGCATATACACTATAATATCTGTAGGTCACAATATTATCCCCCTACCCCTATGACATCACATGAATGTTGTTGCTTTTAAAGAGGGAAGTAAAATGGTTTCACCTGGGATAAAGAGAAATGAATTATTGAGGCTTTTCCTTTAAGCAGTCTCTATGCCATTGAGGATTAAGTTATCTTTTAATATTCCTTAACACATTTTTTTAATGTCTTGGAGAGTGACAACTTTTTAGCTTTATGTTAGACACGGTGCTGAGCATTTTAGGTGAATTACCTTATTTAAATATCACCATAATATTCTGAGGTGGAAAGGTTATCAACATCTCCAATTTTAGATGAAGAATTGTAGCTTTTTAGGACAGCTCTGTCAAAAAAACTGTGTAATGCAAGCCACACATGTAAGTTGAAATTTTCTGAAAATATTTAAAATACACAGGTGAAACTGACAATATATTTATTAAACCAATGAGTCAATATAGCATTTCATCATGTAACTGATATGCAAAGATAATATATTGTATTATATTATATTATATATTGAGATAGGTTCTTGCTCTGTTGCCTGGGCTAGAGTAAAATGCCACAATCGTAGCTCACTGCAGTCTTTAAGTCCTGAGCTTAAGTGATGCTCCCATCTCAGCCTCCTGAGTAGCAGGGACTACAGGTGAGCACTGCCACACCTGTTGAAGTTTTTACTTTTAGTATAAATGAGGTCTCACTATGTTGCCCAAGCTGGTTTGGAACTCCTGAGTTCAAGCAGTCCTCCTGCCTTGATCCTCCAAAGTGTTGGGATTGAGCCACAGCAGCTGGCCAATATATTTTACATACGTGTGTGTATGTATGTAATATACCTTCAAATTTTGGTGTGTACTTTACACTCTAAGCATATATCAAATAGGGCAAGCCACATTTCATGTGCTCAGTAGCCACATGTGGGTAGGGGTTATCTTATTCGACAATACAGGTCTAGAGATTAATTTCTTCACAGCCAGACAGCTAGAACATGGCAGAGCCAGGACTCCAAATTTGGTCAAAAACCAAAGGTTTTTCTTAACCACTGAGCACTGCCTCCTACTGATTGCAATTGTTGCTGATGGTTTAATATTAAACATTAAAAATATCATGGAGAATGTGTTTTATCCAATCTTGCTTGCAGTTTCATTCCAACACACCCATCTACTTTTCCACTAGCAATGATAACCTAACATTTCTGGGCAATGTATAGTGCAATTTGGAGTGTACAATGCAAAAACATGAATGGAATTTAGTACAAAATAGTGTCATGTGATACATACAAATTACTCTGTTGTCATCGATCAGCATGACCTGTACATTCTGTCTCTGAACAGAGACTTTATGGAAAGACAAAAGACAAATCACAATGAGATGACAGATTGCTTGATAAGGGATGTTTCATGCAAGGGGAATTGAAATAACAATATTTGATTGGTTTCATCAATCTCATATCAAGGGTGATTTTGCCAGAGAGATGAAAATGTACATGAATAGGTATTGCCAATGCTCATCTTCGGAGCGTTCTTTTACCAAGATTCCATGGCTGATCAATCCCTTTTTAGATGGACATGTTATTTCTTGGTTTTAATCAATTCTTACAGGCCTGAGAAACATCCTTACTCACTGATGTTTTTGAAAACTCTTCTTTGATCCATTATATAATCATAATGGCTTTATAGTTTATCCCTCAGAGAATAGACATATTTCCATGTTTATAGATATATATTACTAGAATTTCCCTTTTATGATCATAGCAGAACCCTGGTCAAGGTTCCTAAAGGGAACACTGAAGAAACAAAATGCAATAAATATCACAGTTCCTTCCTGACACCTCATCCAAAACCCAGATACCCACAGTGCCCTTTTTGCTTTTGAGGGCTTTTGTTAATCATAAAATTTTTGATGTAATGCACATTCTGAAAATGTGTCATTACAGAATCTGAAGTCCATATGCGGAGGGGCAGCACAATGGACTGGAAGTAACATGGGTTGGAATTTCCTGTGTATTTTACAGTTTTAATACCTTGGGCATTTTTTACCAAGTCTCTATTTTCTCATTTTTTAAGAAAAAAAAAATGAAGCTAATAATACCTACCTCATAGAATGATTTGGAGGATTAATAGGACAATTTATATAATGCAGATGGTACAAAAAACAACAGCATTCGGTAATGGGGTTAAAAAAAAAACCATTCAGTACAGTCCTTCTGTCTGTAGTCAGAAAAGAATCTTCATCAGTCCTTTTAGAGTTAGAATGCCTAGAGCTTTTTGCCAGGTATCCTGGCTTTTGGTTATTCCACCACTCGTTGGTGCCACCATCAGACAGAACACAGAAGAAAAGAAAATGGTAAAAAAATTTCATTATTTTCAGATGTGGATTTCTGTCAGTCTTTTCAACAGACTCAATTTCTTAGGTAATTCTCTGGATCACTTAGGTCAACTAGCAGAGACTCCTTGTTCTATAAGTAATGTTTCTACTCTACACAGACCATTTTCTGTTGGACCGCACACTTAAAACTAAATGTTCTGCTCCATATTATACATAGAAGAAATCAGATTAACTATAAAGTAACCATGTAGCTGAATTTATGAATTATATACCCTGAATGAAAATCTAGAGTCTGTTACTCTTTAGCCCCATGGTCTTGTGCAAATCACCTGTCCTCTATGAACTTCAGTTTCAGGAATTGCAAAATGGAAAAATAATATTAACCTCATAAGTCTGTCATGATAATAACTTTAAATACTTTAAACGGTGACCATATAGTTCCCTTCTCCTGCCTCGGGATTAATGAAAATCTTCAGCAATCAATTAATTGGTATCTAATGTGGATATTATGAATAATTATTAGTATTCTAAAAGCACTCCCATAGCATGACTTTGCCACACCGTCCCTGGATCAGTGATTTTATTTGCATTGAGTTCCTGCCATCTCCCATGACACAGTCTCATCCAGTGGTGCAATCCCCAAGAGTCGGAGCTGTAACCATTTAGCAGCTTCTGATTTCCCCTCTCAGACATTTCCTAGCTCCTAAGAAGAGTACAATGCATGTGCTGGATACTGTGAAGAATGGAGGGCCAGTTACAGGAGTACTAAAATGTAATAGTGAAGTGTCTGCTCACACCTGTGCGAGTAAACACAGGTGTTTCTCTGTTTTCTTTCACGCAGACCTGCATTCAGCTGCCGTGCTGATGCTTCTCACAGTAGTGTGGCTTTGGGTATATAAATATGAAAGAAAGTGACATGAGGAATATTTGAATGAAGATTTTAACCTTTAAATTATCAGGAATTGGAAAGGAGGCAGCTAAGAAGGTGGAGAACGAAATACTGAGGAAACAAGTCATAAGGATTTGCCTTTCAGTTAAAAAAAACTTTCCCTGAAGAAGCTATTAGAGAAAAGGAACTTATTATAATTTGACAAATTTTTTTCCTTCTTGATATTCTATCTCTACACAGATGTCATTTCCTCTTCCATTCAGTAGACAAAAAAATAAAAGAATGGATACTGTGATCTTGGTGCTCTAAAACATTCTCTACTTTTTCTCCTTTTATTTCAGAAAAAAAGAGCAACATTCTTTCAAAAAATTGCACAGCACCAGAAAGATAAGTTTTTCTACAGGATAAGCACGGAAAGTAGATTTTCCCCATAAAATCCTACCTCTTTCTGGAGAGAGGAATTTAGAAAATTCACCTGGTTCATTCTCTGGCCTCTGGGTAAATTTAAGGAGTTGCTTCTTAAAATAAGAATAAGAGTTGACCAGCTGGCGTGGTTTTGATGTTGTTGCCATTGGTTTTTTAATCACATGCCATGAAAGGGGGAATTAGCCCCTACTTCTTTATACCCACGACCCTTCGCAGGCATAAACCAGCCACATAGCTCCTGGAAGCTTTAGTGGTCCTTGGGGGCCTGACACTCCGAAACCCACCCAGCCGTGGCCCACCAGGCAGCCAGAACTCGCTGGCAAGCACCAGGCATGAGGTTCCGGGCTGGTTTCCTCCCTCTCTTGCACCCTCTCCTACCTTGGAAATGAGCCGTCCACGCCCGCGACGCTGCCTGGTCTCTGGCAGCAATGCCGCCTGACTCACTCCTGCTTGATCTCTGGGGTAGCCAAATGCTAGATCGCTAGAACTTCTCCTTCCCTCTTTCACACACACCCCTTCGCTGCCCTCAGAGGATCAATCCGGACAGGCGATCGAAGTACCAGACCCCACTCACAGTAGAGTATGATATATGCAGACAGTCTCTCACCTCCAACTGTGACTTTGCCAGGCTCCTGCCCCTACTTCCCCTAGTCTGCCTTAAGTATCCTTTGTGTGAGAAAATGGTGCTGCAGGATGCTTGTTCACTAGCTGGAGTCAGGGCAGCCAGCGTGATAACAGGAAAAATCAAACTTCTCTGAGAAAATGTGAATGAGTGAAAGTTAAAGGGAAGTCTAAGAGAGCAGGGAGCAGAGGACCGAGGAGAACACTGCATGCTCTGGGTTTTGCTCTGGAAAGCTAGCAGCCCGAAAGCGGCGCGTTTTCTCCGGCAGCGGGTCCCGCACGCGAGAGTGCCGCCAGCACGCATTCTGCCTCCTTCTCTGGGAGGCGAGCAGTAACTTCCTAAGCTTACCTCCATCTCTCCCCCGCCCTTCTTTCTGGTTCTCCGTCAGCGGGGAGGGGCCGCCCCCGGATCGACGGGGGATGTGAAGTGCAGGGAGTGGGGACCAGAGGGGGGTACTCAGCAGTTGGTGCTGCTCCTTCCCTTCCCAGCAGGCGGCCCGGACACTGGTTTACTTCTCTCCCCACGCCTTTCACTGGTTCACCCCCCTTCCTTCCCCTTTCTCCCCCTCTGTGAAGTCCCTCCCCCTCGCCAATAAAAAGGGCTGGCTCGGCACTGGCTCCTTGCAGTCGGCGAACTGTCGGGACGGGAGGAGCCTTAAGCCGGAGCTGCAAGCAGCTGCCCGCGCGGCAAAGCGGAAGGCAAGCCAAACAGAGTGCGCTGAGTGGCAGCGGCGACCCAGGCAGCACCCGCAGCCCGGGCGGCCCGAATAGCCTCAGAAACTGCCTCAGCGACTCCGGCTGCTCTGCGGACTGCGAGCTGTGGCGGTAGAGCCCGCTACAGCAATCGCAGTCTCCGTGGAGCGGGCGGAAGCCTTTTTCTCTTCTTTCGTTTACCTCTTCATTCTACTCACAGAGGCTTCGTTCAGTGGGTAAGTAACCGGACTGGGTACCTGTACAGGGTGCTGGCAGGGAGGCGTGAGTTCCACACTTAGTGTGCGGACACTGCCCGCTGCCTGCGCCTGAGGTCTGAACTGTGACAACGGAGTGGTTTTAAAGAGGCTTCTGCTATTCTCCCTTCCCCCTTCTCTTCCCGGGAGGTAAGAGAAAGAGCAAACCCCGGAGGTGAGCGCAGGGAGAGTATCTTTTTAGCACTACCACCAATGCGCTTGGTTACTTTGCGAAAACTCTCACTTTTGTCAGAAATGTGTCGGCGCAGGAATTTACCCGACATTGGCTGTGCAAAAAGGTCTCTCCCTTTAATGGGTACAGCTAGCTTTAGCGAGGATGAGGGAAACTCTAAGATTGGGTCAGGTGTTGACAAAAGAGCATGTCCCGGACTCGCCTGGCAGAGATCAGAGCTGAGAGGCGATACCTCCAGCCGAGAAACTGCCTCCAGCCTCGCTGCGCTCCTCTGGGGGCTCGGGTTTGGATCCCTGCCAGGCTGGCTCCAACCTTTGAGGATACGACCCTTGGCGCAGAGCAAAGGAGAGCCAGGCGAGCCAGGAGCGCACAGGGTTCCCGGTGCTGTTTCTCTTGGCGCTCGCCTCCCCACCCTTCCTTCCCGCCCTATTTATGGGGCTGTACTCAGCCAGCACCTGCTGGATATGGAGATAGTAGGTGTGAAAATTCTGCCTATATATTTTTTAAGGCAACTTATAATCGAGCCGAAAAACGGCATTTTCTCATTTTAAAAAATGACTTTTCTAAGAGTGTTGCCAGACATCTGAAGAAATGACTTGTAATCCCTTAGCCAAATAAATAAATAAATAAATAAACCGCCCACCCATCCCATAAATAGATGGTGTTTTCTAAAAGAGAACCGAGAAACAGTTCACGTCCTCACAGAGGAATTCTTTTTCCAAAAGCGCGTAGCGATACCCCCCTCCCCCCTCCAGAAAAGGAATGTCTCTTTTAAAAAAGCTTCATCGGAAAAGGTGACTTTTAAAAAGCGAGTAGCCGCAAACGGGTGCATCTTTTAGACTTTAGAAGAGCGGAGCAGCAGTCCGCCCGGGTTGCTGCTGGGACTTGCATCTGAGCGCTTAGTCGCAAAGGGACTTGAGGGGTAGGAGGAGAGGTCACTTTCTCAGAATGTATAGCCCCAGCCGCTTTTTTGCCTTTGCCAAGGAAAGACTCTTAGAGCTTCACGGAAGATGGGCCCTTTTGCTTCAGAATGATTTATTCCACGTTCCCCTGCTTCACCCGCCTGCGGCTTAGGGTGTGGGGCGCTGGGGTGCTCCTCTGAAGCGCTTGTGGGGAACCCTAGCCTCTCCGATGCAAAATGTGGGCTGGGGGCTGGGAATCGATATTTGCGCCACTGCGGCACACACCCACAAAGCAAAAACCGTGGGGAAGAGGGGTTAGGACAAAACAAATAGAATGAAAGCGCAACAACCAACAAAATCAATTTTTGAAAAGTGTCCTTGTCTTGTGTGTTTAAACATCCCAAGATGGGATTGAAACGCAGCCTAGGAGATGTTTGTACGAAGAAAAGTGTGTGGAAGAAAGTGGTTGAAAATCTGGGTAGGAGGGGGGGGGCAGCAAAGATGGGGAGGAGGCAATGGTGTCATAGCTGTCGCCTGTGCGCTCTTAGCGCTGCAGTCAGGAAACAACCTGAGGAGCATGCGGATAATTCCGAACGCCAAGCACAACACCTGAGAACATAGCGGTGCTTTGTGACTTAAAGCGACCGTCTCCCTCGGTCCCCTAAAAAGTAAAACGGGTGTGACTCAAAATAGAAAAGGAATTGGTATTTGCGGGCACCCTTGCAACTTGGTAAAGACTGACGGAATTCCACTTTTAATCTTGTTTGAAACAAACTCCCGCAATCCCGGCAGGAAATCCCAGCGCCAGGGCTGGCCTTTCCACTGTGGGTCTGTGTGTGTGTGTCGCGGCGGGGGCGGGGGTGGGGGTGGGGAAGCAATTGAAAGCAAGTCGAAGTAATAGTATATGTACACGTTTCCCCTTTCTTGCCTTTGTCTGGTTCATCGGAGAGAGCGCGGACTGTGTGCGGGCGGTTTTGACGAAAGAACCGAGAGATGGATGCGCTAAGGTCTAAAGATACCTTTCTCCCTCGACTAAATTAAGAACTGTCGCGTGCAGCTCCCGAAAGCTGAGTCCCGCTGCAGCTGCCAGGGCGTCAGGCTCGCCAAGCGGCGGGGGAGCGCCTTTGCCTACCAGGCCTGAGAACCCTGTTCTTCAGTCGCCTTCGCAGGGGCAGCCCCTCCTTCTGGCAATGATGTCAGCTGCAGAGAGGCTGGGCCCGGCCGCTAGGAAGCCGAGTGGCAAGTCCGACTCGCAAGCGCGAGCAGCCCTGCCCCGCGCGCTCCCTGCGCGCAGCCGCCCTCTTGTCCTTTCGGTCCTTCCCGCGTTCCGGCGAGCAGCGCCCCCTTTCCAGTCCCTCCTCCTCAGAGGCGTACTGAGGCGAGGGAGGCGGGGGAGGCCATTGCTGGCTGGTCGCCGCCGGTTTTAAAACCTGGGATCAAACCCAGTTTGGGGTCTTCCCCCCATCCATTTCCTCCTTCCCTCCGCGCCCGCGCTCTCTCCGTTTTTCAACTTCTATTCACAGTGATTTTACTTATTTAGCAGGATTTTAGAGGACAAGTGTTCCACATGCAATGATAGTAGTTGCTGGTGTTAAATTTCTGCTGTTTTCTCTCCCGTCGGGTGATTAAAAAGAAGGCTGTGAAGACCGGCTTCTTTAAAACCTGGTGGTTGCTGCTCCGCCTGTCACAGAGCAAGCTCTCTAGAAGGCGGGGTGGGTCATCTTCCGCACAAAATTGTGCGGTGGGGGAGGTTTTTTAACCTTAGGCCAAAACGCAGGCTGGGGAGTCCCCTTCACTGAAAGAAGAAATTGGAAATTGGAAGTTTCGGAAAGGCTGTATCCTCTACTGCCATAGGGGAGAGGCCACCATGCTCTTTATTTTACAGACACGCATTCCAAATTGGGAAGATGCAGGAATAGGTTTCTTTAAGACGGAAGCCCGCTGCGGCGTCCCTTCTGAGCTTGCTCTTCTCGTCTTAAGGAGCAAGCCCCTGATTTCCCAAATTTGAGGCCAATCTGTTTTCCTGATTGCCGACAATTCCTTCTTTAGCTTTGGTAGGAGGGTGGCAGCGTGCAGTTGGAGAAGGTTGCACAGGGCAAGAGGGAGGGGCAGAGGCAGAGGCAGGGCGTGTAGAGGCAACTGGCGTCTGGAGCAAAATTACATTCCAGAGGAAATTACCTTCCAGGGGGTCGCAAGCAACTGCTTACCTATTGTGTTTTGGTTTGGACGCAGGTGAGAGAAGTGGGAAATGGGAGCAGGAGCAAAGAATTACTCCATTTCGTAAAACTAGGATTTTCCCCCTTCCTCTTCTTCTTCCCTTTGATGAAAAGCGTCCCTTTCATGACGTATAGCTGGCAGTAAACTTAAAGTTGCGGTGCGTTTGAAATACAGGAATGGGAAAGAAACTCCCACCAAGCATAAAAACACATTCATTATCTAGAGCTCAATCATTTGCTAAGGGTTGAAAGCAACTGAGTACCCCCACTCCCTGCCCCTTCCCCCGGGTCCCCGGCCTTTTTATCACCGGAATGGATTCCGAGGGACGCCCAGGTAATGCTCGGTTTCAGCAGCAGTAAGCCCTGGCAGAAGGGATTGTAGGTTTCATATTATTCCCTCTCTTGGTATTCAAAACTTTATATTTTTTTTCAAGATAGAAATTCCTGATAGAGAGCTTCCAGACTGCTGGTGGCAGGGAAGAAATCTGGTTAAGGAGATTCAGAAAGCAGAAAATTCTTTTTCTCTGCGCAAGCAGTCCACAACAGCCTTTAGCTAGGATTTATAAGATTCTTGGTGGAGCAAGGGGAGGCACATCAACAAGGAGAGTTTATCTAAACCCCTGGCTTCGAGCTACATTGAAGAAATATATGTGGCTGTCATGTTTTCTTACTGGGAAAGAAAATTATTCAGGGAGTGAAATTTTGAAAGCTAATTCTCTCCAATAATCGTGCTTCCCATATTTTAAAGGAGGTGTCATCCCTGTATTTATTCACTAAAGAATCCACAAACTTTAATTAGTCACCTACTGTGCCAATGTGCTAGGCTCTAGGAATACAAAAGAGAGTATGACAAACTGGCATAGTGATTGAGTTAACAGGTTAAGAAGAGGTTCATAAAGGAGAGGTCTGTGGTTTTAAAAATAGGTATTCCTAGTAGGTCGCTAGCAAGAAAATATATCTGGAAGGTCATGCCCCACACAGACTAAGTAAGCATGAGGGCTTGATGTCTTGCTACAAAGTTTTGAGGTGTATGTGTGTTTTGTAGACCTAGGACACCTTTGAGGATTTTTTTTCCAGCAAATTTGTTAAAGTAACAACAAAAAACTAGCCTGAGAAAATTGGGCAATAGATAGCACACATTAGAAATATTATTGTTGTTTGCATTTAAATGAAGAATTGAATAAACTGATGCATTCAGCAGAGAGTGGAGGCACATATGTTAAGAAGATAACATCCAGAAAAGAGAACAAATGAATGAAAAGGGCCTAAAACTAATCAGTATAACTAAGAAACAAAGGAAAGCTGCTTTGGGGAAGAAAAGTTCTCTTTAGACATCATCATCTATCCACTCAGATTGTTTTACTCATCTCACTTTCCGAATTCAGTCTTCAAAATTCCCCATCTTCCGCTTATTGATTAAACTTTCTTTGTCCTGGGGAGACCCCCCCCCTCCACTCCTTCAGCCACTTGCAAGCACACTGATCTTCACCCCACCCCGTTTTCTACCCACATCCCTGCATCATCTCTGAACTCTACATCATCTAACATTTTACCCACTTCAGCCTTCTTTCGACAACCAGTTAGAGGCCCTTAATCTTTTTCCTTCCCTTTAGGCACTAACAAACAGCTGTCTCACTTCTCTTTCCTCCTCTAAGCCATCCCCCACTCCCT